TGTGTGTGTGTGTGTGTGTGTGTGCGCGCGCGCGCGCCTGCAGCGGTGAAGGGGGAACATTTGTCTGTGCCTACTATGCTGCGTGCCTACAGACACCGTGCATGCACTATAAGGCATACTCCTCACAGCTAATCCATGTGCAGATGAAGTTCACAGAGGCCAAGTGACTGGCTAGAGGTCACCTGGTTTTAATTCCAGGGCTACCTAGTGCCCCTTCTACAACACTTCATTCCCTTAGTTTTCCTGGTTCTGTCAAAAATATTAGTTGCTCATTAACATAATTTCCCAGTTCTTTTCTTTCCATTATTCCACCCAATAAGTGCTCTCTCTCACTCTAAGATGTCAGCCTTCGCACCTGTTCCATAGCTTAGACACACAGGGAAGCAGATTCCTCACAAGAAACAGCTCCCTTCTCTATGTGATTCTACATGAAATTTTTAATGAGCTGTACAGTGTTTATCTCAGACCTACCACAGCTGAGAAGGAACAGTGTGTATTTCCCTCGGTCATTTCCAGTGCCTGACACTCTCACACCTGGGAGGTTCTTGCCAATTTTCTGATTAATATAATTAAAAAATCCAATTTTAAATTTTAAATGGTCAACTAGATAAATTATTGTTGAATAATGAAATAATTTAAATGATGGTTTTGACATTATCCTTGTACTAGCAACATCTCCTAACTTTTTTCACCACAGTACCCCTAACAGAAGAGGGAATGAATACATGCCAAGCAGCCAAAACACAAGAGAGATTTCATTCAAATCTTGCATTTTACCTTAGAAATTCAGATAAACAGTTCATTCTATGCCACTTAATAGCCTTGATTTTACCCCCCCCCCCCCAATTCTAAACATTAACAATCTGGAAAACATCTCATGTTTATTTTAGAGTGTCTCAGCACCCAGGGTACTCCTGGTGGTATGAGACTTTGTTCTTTGAGAAAAATGGTAATATGGTCTTTAACACAGTACTATGAAATGGTAAAATGTGGAGAGTAAAGCTTTAAATTGATATATCACATTTCAGTAACTGACAAATTATTAAAAGTTATTATTGTTAGTGTTCCAATATTATAAAAGTAAAAATCAGTATTTCCTCTAAGGAAAGGGAAGTAGATGGGCTTTATATAAAAGTTAATACATTTCCCTGGAATCTAAAACTGATCTCATTTTGTCAAATATATGTACTTGTTATTAACTGTTCAGTGTTTCTACCCTACCTTAAGCTTAGATAACAGGTACTCAAAGAAACATGTAATTTTTGCTTTTAGGAACTATAAAATGCAGGAGACATGGTATAGAGTGAAAATTACCTTGTTTATCTATAACCGAGTATGAGGCCAGAAATCCTCGTCCAGAAACATGGATCCCACTCATGAACAGCACTGTAATTTCATTGCTTTTTGATTCAATTGAATGGTTCATTTGTAACCCCAGACCACAGTATTTGCCTAGGAATGAAAGAAAAGCAGATATTTGTTGTGACTCTCATGAAGTTAGTACTTGCAATGCAGATAACAGAATCAGAATAATATACCAAACTGTGTGTTAAATAGTTTAAAATGATAACTAGGGTGTTTAGTGATTAAAATCCCATTACTCTGAGGGAAAAAGAAGAAAAGAAAACAGCCAAGTAATAACTGTTCAAGTGATTCAAAAGAAAAAGTAGCACAAGCGTCACTGACCTGTTGAAGTTTCAATTTGCTGTGAAATACAGTCTTTAAAATAATGAGGAATTTTTAAGAAATTAGAACATTTCATGCAGGCAGGTGGCCCACAAATAAACTGACAACCAGTAACCCCACACGGTGCCCCTAGACTCCTGGCCTCAGGGCACCTCTCAAACCTTCTATGAACCTTCTTAATTTTTCTTCCAAGGACTGTTGGACTTTTGGTCAATCCCTTTAGGTGATCATTTATATTGAAAAAAACAAACAAAACCTCAATTCAGTCTGTAACTTCTCAATTTATTTAGCCTTTAATAAATGAATACCAAACATCGAGGTAAACACACACATTTGTCTTAGGTGCTATGGTTTTAATATAAATGCAAAAGAAACAAAACCATCTACTTCTAAATAAGGAATGTAATTTTAGCTATCAATATATATATATATTTAATTATATCTTTATTGATTTCAGAGAGAGGAAAGGAGAGGGAGAGAGAGACAGACAGAAACATCAATGATGAGAGGGTCATTGGGGATGGAGCCCGCAACCTGGGCACGTGCCCCAGCCAGGAATCGAACTGCGATCTCCTGGATCCTAGGTCCATGCTCAGCCGATAAGCCACATCTGGCCAGGCACTATCAGTATTTTTCACATTCACGCAAAATGACACGTTATGAAAGAACACTACAAGTTCTGTTTGAATACACAAGAAAGGAAGGTAAAGTCTTCAGACTTGATTTTAATACCAAGTTACTCACAAACAGTCCAGGAGAGAGGACAAATATTAAATAACGTATTACTTTTGAACATAAAATATTTAAAAACAGAGTAATATATTTCACAGTATTCCAAATAGTATCTCAAATATTAATATCAAAAGCTATATAATTTGTTAGCAAACCCAAATATATGCAGAGCCAGTGCCCACCACATTAAATCTTACAGCCCAATAGGAACAGTAAAGACAAGAGAAACTACGTCAACTAGCATTTCTACACAAGACTGGCTTTTGTAAAAGTGAGCAACAGTTTCATCTGGGCTCATCAGTATGAGCTGTTCTTTGCTATGAAGGATCTATGTATGTGTGATTTTATTACAAGGCTGATTAAGGGTCTTAGTACAAATACTGACTTTTCAGATCCTTTCAGGTACAAAGGAAAAAGATCGTAGAATACCTATCATGCCATACAAAGATACCTTTATTAAAAATATATTATTAATGTGAAACAATGTTTAAAAAACCTTTTAACCCTTTCGAAATGGACAGAACCATAAAATTATTTTTTATTAGCAGGGCAGTTTCACCTTTTGCTTATTTGTTTATCTGGAGTTATCTTATCCTCCAAAATGTGAACAAATTAATCTGTGGTAGAAACAAACATTTTTTTAAACCACACATGTTCTGTGAAACTCAAAAGGCAGTGCTAAAGAATGGATAATAACATCCAGCAGGTGTGACTCAGTGGTTGAGCATCGACCCACGAACCAAGAAGTCACCAATTTGATTCCCAGTCAGGGCACATGCCTGAGTTGTGGGCTTGATCCCCAGTAGAGGGCGTGCAGGAGGCAGCCAATTGATGTTTCTCAGCTATGTTTCTATCTCTATCACTCTCCTTTCCTATCTCTATAATCAGTAATTAATATACTTAAAAAGAAAGAGCACCAGGAACAAATGGGTTGACTGGTAAATTCTACCAAACATTTAAGGAGAAAATTTCACAAATACTCTATAATCTTAGAAGCAGAGGGAATATTTCCTGACTTATTCTATGAGACCAGCATCACCCTAAAACCAAAACCAAATACATCACAAGAAAACTGCAGACCAATGTTTCTCATGAAAATAGATGCAAAAATCCTTAATGATTAGCAAATCAAACCCAATAAGGGAGAAAAAGAATTATACGCTACAATCAGTTATGATTCATCCTATATGCAGGTTGGTTCAACATTTGAAAATCAATTAATGTAATCCATCATATTAACAGACTAATGAAGAAAAATCATGATAAATCAATAGGTGCAGAAAAAGCATTTGACAAAATCAACACCTATTCACAATAAAAACTCTCAATAAACTAGGAATAAAGGGAACTTCCTCAACTTTGTTTATAAAAACAAAACAAAAAAACTACAGTTAACATCATACTTAACAGTGAGAAATATAATGCTTTCCTAATAAGATCAGGAACAAAGCAAGGTCCGCTCTCACCATTCTTTTAAAATCATACTGTATTAGTTAACACAATGAGACAAAGTGGAAAAAAAGTATACAGATTGGGAAGGAAGAAATAAAAGTCTTTATTCACAAATGACATGATCATCTATGTAGAAAATCCAAGGGAATTGACAAAAAAGCTCCTGTAACTAACAAGTGATTGTAGCAAGGTTGAAGAATACAAGGTTAGTAGCAAAAGTCAATTGCTTTTCTATATAAACAACGAACAAGTGAAATTTAAAATACAATATCACTTACATTAGCATCCCCAAAATGAAATACTTAGGCATAAATCTAACAAAATATGCATAAGACCTGTATGAGAACTATAAAACTCTGAAGAACAAAATCAAAGGACTAATAGAGATGTTCCATGTTCATGGATAGGAAGGCTAAACTTGAACAAGAAGTCAGTTCTTCCCAACTTGATTTATACATTCATGAAATCCGAATCAAAATCCAAGCGAGATATTTTGTGGATATTGATGAAGTTAAAGTTTATACGGACAAAAGACCCAGAATAGCCAACATAATACTGAAGAACAAAGTTGGAGTTGTGATACTATCTTCAAGACTTACTATATAAAGATACAGTAATCAACACAGTGTGGTATTGGTGAAAGAACTGACAAACAGATCAACCTAACAGAGAAACCAAAAATAGGTCCACATAAATATAGTTAACTGATCTTTCACAAGGGAGCAAAGGTACTACAATGGAGCATAGATAGTCTTTTCAACAACTGGACATCCACATGCAAAAAAAATAAATCTAGACAGACCTTACACCATCCACAAACATTAACTCAAAATGGGTCATAGACTTAAAGGTAAAATGCAAAACTATAAAACTCCTAAAAGATAACATAGGAAAAAAATCTGATGACTTTGTTACTGTATCTAAAAAGTCATAATCATACCCAAAGGCACAATCCATGAAATAAAGAACTGATCAGCTGAACTTCATTCAAATAAAAAATTTCTGCCCAGCCGGGCGTGGCTCAGTGGTTGAGCGTCGACCTAGGATCCAGGCGATTGGGGTTTGATTCCCAGTCAGGGCACATGTCCAGGTTGCAGGCTTGATCCCCAGTTGGGGGCATGCATGAGGCAGCCAATCAATGACTCTCTCATCATTGATGTTTCTATCTCTCTATCCCTCTCCTGTCCTCTCTCTGAAATCAATAAAGATATACTTAAAAAGAAAAAAAAATTCTGCTCTGCAAAAGACAATGCAAAAGAGAATGAGAAGACATGCCACAGACTGGGGAAAAAAACATTTGCAAAAGACACATCTGATAAACAACACATCTGATAAAGGACACATTTGATGAAAGACTCTTATCTAAACTATACAAAGAACTTAGATCTTAACAGACTTCAGCAAAGAAGATATACAGATGTCACATAAGCATATAAAAGATGCTCTACACCATATGTCACCAGGGAAATGCCAATTAAAACAATGATATATCACTATACACCTATTAGAATAGCCAAAATCCAGAATAATCACCACCACCAAATGCTGGCAAAAATGTGGATTAACAGGAACTCTTATTCATTGCTGGTGGGAAAGCAAAATGGTACAGACACTATGGAAGACAGTTTGGGGATTTCTTTAAAAACTAAACAGTCTTGCCCAGCATGCGTGGCTCAGCATGCGTGGTTGAACATCGACCTATGATCCAGGCAATCGAGGTTCGATTCCCAGTCAGGGAACATGCCGGGTTGTGGGCTTGATCCCCAGCAGGGGGCGTGCAGAAGGCAGCCGATCAATGACTCTCTCTCATCATTGATTTCAGAGAGAGAAGGTGGAGGGAGAGAGAAACNGGCAGCCGATCAATGACTCTCTCTCATCATTGATGTTTCTCTCTCCCCCTACCTTCTCTCTCTGAAATCAATTTAAAAAAAGAAGAAAAAAAACCTAAACAGTCTTACCACACAATCCAGCAATCACACTCCTAGGTATTTACCCAAAGGAGCTGAAATTTATGTCTACACAAAAACCTGCATGCAGATTTTTATAGCAGCTTTATACCTAATTGCCAAAACTTGGAAGCAACCAAGATGTCCTTTATTAGGTGAATGGATAAACTGTGGTACACCCAGAAAATGGAGTATTATTCAGTACTAAAAAGAAATGAGCTACCAAGCCACAAAAAGACAAGAAAAGAACTTTATATGCATATTATAAGTGAAAGAAGACAATTTAAAAAGGCTACAGATTGTTTGATTCCTGGAAAGGTAAAACTATGAAGATAGGTAGAATGTGCGGAGCACAGAGGACTTTTAGGGCAGTGAAAATACTCTGTATGTTACCACAATGATGTCCTTATAATTTGCTCAAATGCATGGAATGTGCAAAAATAAAAAAATAAAAAATAAATTAGCCACCAAAGAAATGCAAATCAAACCCATAATGAGTTATCACCTCAC